GAGCCGAAGGGACAGTAGAAACGTTTGTGGAATATATATAATGCCTTGTGGCATCATTCTTGTGGTAAACATTTATGAGATAATCATGACGTATAGACATTGCATTTTAACGAATCATCGATCACAAGAGGGGATAGGAGCGAGGGTGTAATGTACATTGTATACATGTTTAATTTAATACATTAAATTAGGAAACATCCCTCATGTTATCAAACTATTTGTATTTAAATCTTTTAAAGATAGTCTAAGAACAAAATTAGCAACTGCACTGATTTCCTTGATCTCAGAAACGTATATTAAATGTAACAAAAAAAACGGTCCATGGCTTATTCCTAACTAATATCTCAATTTTAATGTAGTGTGTAATAATTAGCCGATGACGTCATAATGATGTCATAAATGGCCCTTCCCATCATCCAATCCACTGATTTCCTTGATCTCAGAAACGTATATTAAATGTAACAAAAAAAAAACGGTCCATGGCTTATTCCCAACTAATATCTCAATTTTAATGTATAAGTGTGTAATAATTAGCCGATGACGTCATAATGATGTCATAAATGGCCCTTCCCATCATCCAATTTTTTGCATCCTACCTTTTTTCGAAAAAGGTAAACCATGGAGATGCTTTGGTGTGAAAATGGTGCTTTTCCACCCATGTCACGATTTTCTCACTAAGGTACCTCACTTTTCCGCCTATCTTTGGAACAAGTTTAAACATTTAAGATACTAATAATCAATTACAAAAACTCTAGAATTAGAATAGAATTTGAGCCTTTCTCTCTGACTTGAAAACAACATCTCACAATACCACATACTGTTTGCATGTTTAAACAAGGTGTCAAAGTGACTACCCAAAATCCATGATTTAGCCGGAAAAAACAGGTCTTTGTTTTAACCAAAAGGTTGTTTTTTGACCCACAAAATCACCCTCAACTATATTCCATCCCAATGACATACCACTCAAATGAAATATCTTGTTGTCCCCTTTAATTTGATACCACATTTGTTGTTGTGATGCTTGTAGTTCTGAAGATTATTATCAATTTATATTTTTTCAAGTAATAATTAGCTGATGACGTCATCATGACGTCATACATGCCCTTCCCATTATCTAATTTTGTGCGTTCGTCTTTTTTTCCGAAAAGGTATACCATGGAGATGCTTTGGTGAAAAAATGTTTTTTTTGTCCACTGTGTAACGATCCTTAGCATTTTTGTTACTAATGTACCTCACTAACAAAGAGGGTGAGTATGCTTCTAAAGCAAAAATAAACTACAAACTAAGCCTAAATGTGAAAATCTAAATTTGACAAAGTTCGAAATGTTTTTGTACATTTTATTTGGCCTTTATTTACAGAGGTAGTCCAGTAAATTAGCCACATTTATGGGGCTAGCACAAAATGCATACCGTGTACATGTCACCAAAGTATGCCAAATCGGTGGAGCGTTAGTACGGAGGTAGTCCCATAAATGTGACTGAAATACTGGACTACCTCCGTATATCAGTCACAGAGCCACGTAAGGCCTGTGAGCGGAGCGCTCCGTTGCTAGGGGAGCCGAAAATTAATTAAAGAATAGATTGAAATTATTTTGTCAGCAGAAAATCAACCCAGCTATAGTGTGACTGCTAAATAGCACAAAGTCGTTAAATTCGGTACCCTTCAGAGGTCTAGTTATCCAAAAATCATGGTAATTCGTCAAAGAATGCAGACGGTTTTGAGCAAGCATGGCGTCGCTGATATGTTTCCCGGCCACCCTAATAATAGTCAAGAGGCCAAAGGGGTCAGGGAACCAAACAAGAGCTTTAATCATCTACTGAGCTTGCGTCAACTTTGGTAAAGCGCACCACGGCTGTTACCTGTCATTCCAAAATCTTTGAAGCCCTCTGCAGGGAAGCGCACCCTCTTGTGTGCGCTCTTCATCCGCGGTCGCGTATTGCATCTGGGCACTTCACAGAGCGACAAAGATTTTGGAATGACAGGCAATAGCCGTGGTGCGTGTGCCAAAGTTGACGCACGCTCAGTAGATGATTAAACTTGTTTGGTTCCCTGACCCCTTTGGCCTCTTGACTATTATTATTAGGGTTGCCGGGAAACATATCAGAGACGCCATGCTTGCTCAAAACCGTCTGCATTCTTTGAAGAATTACCATGATTTTTGGATAACTAGACCTATGAAGGTACCGAATTTCAAATGTCATCGCAAAACTGCTGGATCCTGGCTCTCTGCTAGCGTTATGAATGCGCGGGGCTATTGGTTACCAGCGATGCAACCAACCCCAGTAGGCTGGTTCCAAATAGTCGACTAGCGTAGTCAACCACCGTTGCCTAGACAGAGTTCGGGCAAACGTTAGTTAACCATTGGTCAACTATAGTCCTTGCGCGAACTTGGCCCAGGCTTCCAATAACGTGCCCTCTAAAGTGATTAAAATTTACTTCATGCCCACCCCGCATCCGCGCATCCGCGCATCCGCGCATCCCCGCATCCGCGCATCCCCGCATCCGCGCATCCACGCATTCTATAGTTGCATTCTATAGTTGCTCCCTGCATTCTATAGTTGCTCCCATTTTTTTTTTAATAACTTAGACTTGTTGGCTTTAGGAAAATATATTTTCTGAGCTTTTCAAACACATTTTCTTTCTTTTTCCTTTCTTTCTTTCAATGCCAATACACTTTTTGTAATTTCAAGATTATTTTCAATATCCTATTTTTGAGATTTATACAAGGGCTTAAATTTACATAGGCCCTATTTATGTAAATACATTTTATACATATTTACCTATTAAATGTAGATCCCAATGATATTGTTATTCTGATCATCCCAATCAACGGAGACAGTTTTTAAGATGTCGGATTTTAAAACTTATGACCCAAAAAATTCCCAAAAAATATAAGAATTGTGTCTTTTTAGTTGCACCGTAAGTTTTACACCCTCGTACTGTCGTAGAAACTGCAAATTCTTATCTATGACATCTTCACTATAATACTGACGATATTGGGAGACCAAGAAAGGTCTCCTTTCGGTCATATTTTCGACTTCTGCAGGCATGGAAGCATCTGCCTGCATTTGTACTTAGTAATTAGCTGTAAAAAGCCGATGTTTTTCATATTGCGCCTGAATTCCCGGTAAAGCCTTCAATTTCCAATTTTTTTTCGGCTGTATTTCTCAAGTTATTGCGCTGACAAAATTCCTTTTGTTTTAGCCACTGTGACTTTGAACCTTGACCTTTTGGCCCCCAATGCAAAAGGCTTCTTAGGATTGCCAAGGACAATCCACAAACCAAATTTAAAGTTCACATGTAAAGTATTTCTCACATTATCGCGCTGACAAAATTTCTATTGTTTCAGCCACTGTGACCTTGACCCTTGACCTTTCGGCCCCAAATGCAATAGGCTTCTTAGGATTACCAAGAACAATACACAAACCAAATTTGAAGTTCATATGTAAGTATTTCTCAAGTTATCGCGCTGACCAAATTTCTTTTGTTTTAGTCACTGTGACCTCGACCCTTGATCTTTCGGCCCCAAATGCAAAAGGGTTCTTAGGATTACCAAGAACAATACACAAACCAAATTTGAAGTTCATATGTTAAGTATTTCTCAAGTTATCGCGCTGACAAGATTTGTCCGGACACACGCATGCACGCACACACACCCACACACGGAAGGACAAGGCGGAAACAGTATGCCCCTTCGGCTTCGCCGCGGGGCATAAAAAAGTTAAATGCGAGTGCGCAGAAATAGGAGCGCGTAGCTTTAGGAGGTCTGACGATACCGTAGTTCAACGCTCCACTCAGTAGAGCTAGCCAAATTGAGGGCTGACATGGCCATGAGGGCTGACATTAAAAAGTAACTGGCGTAATCATTGTTGAAAAACATACTGGTTGAAAGATAGTAAGGGGACTAAACTCCCTGTGAAATTATTCTTTCTGGCAAGCTCTCATTTTGAAGAAATCAACGAAAGAAGGCATTTCCAACGGTGCATCTTAATAAGCACCGTAGGAAAATTTAAATTAGTAATTCGTTTTGTTATTCGGCACAGCGCGCACAAGCATTGGAACAGCGCACAGGCGTGCGCGGTTGCTATAATTCGTCGGATCAGTGCGCGACATCGCGTAAAGCTGCAATTCAAAACAATTCGAAACATGATTTAGCAACTTTTGATTTGAAATTGAGATCCTAGAATGCTGTTTTTCTCAGAATATAAAGTTGAAGCTGAGCTGAAACTTCATCAAGTAAGTTGTTCAGTATCCTTCATTAGATTTTGAACACTTTTGTTGCTTCAAACGAACAAAATGCACTAACTACAAATGATGGACTATAGCTTTAAGCATGTTAAGGGTAATCCTTACTTTTTTTTAGGACCCCGTTCCTATATATATAGGAAGGGAAAGACTTACCAAAACAATTGACTAAATGACACTCAAAAATTGACATTCTGATATTTCTTGGCACATCTGAACAATTGGCAATGACACCTTCTTGAATATCAGCAGGTTTAATTTTGTGGAAAGAGGGCAGGGCTTTGATTTATGAGGGAAATTAAGGGGTAAAAGACGACGATGACAACCAGAAAACAGATTCAAAAAACGTGAAAGCTCAATGCGATGAAAGCTCGATGCTGATTGGCTGATAAAAAATAAACATCTTATTTAATTTTTTTAGCAGCCAATCAGCATCGGGCTTTCATATGTAGGGCTTTCACTCGTGTTGTGAGAACTACAACATGCACGTCTGACTGCGAAAAAAGGTAGGAAAGTCACATTTTCTTTGAAAGTGCTTTCAAAATTACAACTAACTTGAGTTTTTATGAAGAAAAAAGACTGCTTTAGCCTGCAAAAGTCACTTTGGTACTGGACAGTCATCTGCAAAAGTCAGTTTTGAACAGAACTCGTAAAAAATAGAGGTGTCCTAAAAAAAGTAAAAGTAAGGATTACCAAGCATGCCAAGTGTCAACATTAAGTTTTTTGTACTGTAGAAAATGTAGGCTCTACTTACAGAGAACTTTGGATTCCTCCTGTATTTGCCTGTCTTAGGACCTCGGTCAATGCTTTTGGCTTCAGCATCATAATATTAATAATAGTAAATACAACTTATTACAAAGCAAGGGGATTGTTTAGCCCTGGTGGACTCCCTTTCCTCCCTACGTTACGGTTAGTCGTATTGCAATGAAGACTTCGGCCAACCTGGGCTAGGGGATTGTTATCACATGTTTCATTAACACTAGTAGTAGTACAGTTTACGGCCCGGCCAGGGCGACCGTAAGGTCATGGCCAAATTCTGCTAAATGCACTTCAAAAATCTGTCAGATTTGTAAAAAATCTGCCAGATTCCCCAGAATTACTCGAACTACACAATAAACACTTAAAATCACATGCAGATGTTGTAGTGTTGCCTTAATTAAGGTTCAAATTACATTATAAACAATCACATAAAAATGTTATGAAATTGTGTAAATTTCAGGCAAAACGCGGTTCCGCCACGTCGATCCGGTTCTCAGTGAACCTCAGCACCTAGACCATCATGCCAACCTGTCCCATTATGCAAGGGTTTGTTTGAAAACATTGAAGTGTTTTTAACAAATTTACCATTTCTTTCAAATTTGCTTTGTTTTCCTGTCAATTATAACAATTTTTGCAGAATTCTGCCAGAAATCTGCCAAAAAAATCCATTCTGTCAACTTTCTTGTCAAACTCGTTTTTTAACAAAAAAAGTCAAAGTTAGCCGAAAATCGGCTAAAACAGTCACCGTGTCTACGGCAAACCACGATGACGTCATTAAATTCGGCTATGGTGAAGGGCGCCCCTAGCGTTAGGTAGGTAAACGAGTGTGAAGCTCATGACCTTTGCAATTTGAGCAAGTACTTCATTTTTCACTGTTCTCTACGGTAGCGTATTTAGCTTAGGGGTGCACTGAACCAATGCAAGCCCCATTGAAAACAGTGTAAAATCAACAAAGTTCAGGGCCAAATAACATGCAAGCAGACATCACTGGGGTTTCTGAAACAAAAATCTAGTTATTTTCTAATCCTTCATCTGCCTATTTCTTTTCAATTTTTGGTGGGTTAGCCGATTACATTTTTAATTTTTCACCACAAAACATAATCACCTCCCGAAAAATGGTACTTCCCAAGACTGCATGCAGCAATTTTACAAATGACATCCATCCACTTTCTCAGGCAAATAGGACCCATTTTAAACTGTGATTTTATCGAATCTGCTCTCAGATGGAAGCCCCCCAAAACAGGGAGTTGATCCTCAGCTATATTTACACAATTCCATTTTTTTTTTTTTTAAGCCAAACAGTCTCCTTTTTAAAAAGACATTGGGGGGGGGGGGGGTCACTTTTTATGTTAATCGGCTGTCGTAGAAATTCTCACTTAAATTAGTTCACTGCACCCTCAGGACCTGACCCCCCAAAATGTCTTCTTTGCCGACTATTTCGCCCAGGTGCATTACTATTTCAGCCCGGGCGGATTACTAATTAGCCAGGGCGGATTACTATTTCGCCCGGGCGGGTTTATATTTCGCCAGGGCGGATTACATTTTCAGCTGTTTTTGAGCTCAAAACAGTTCAAATTAACCCCCTTTTGGAATTAATATGAATTTTAGGAACATTTTGGGGCGCTTAACATTTTAAAGCGCCCCAAAATGTTCGTAAAATACTAGCAAATTCATATTGTTGGGTAATCGGGCTGTTATAATCTCATGTTTGTTCAAGTTGGGGGGGGGGGGGTTAGGATGATTTGGACAATAGTATTATTCTCCGCAAGTTTTCTTCAAAACAGTTCATATAATAAATTTGATACTTGGATTGAACATCCTGACACAGAGTAGTATTACCGTGACGTCGTTGTGACGTCAACGGTATTACAATCATAGTTGTTGTTTTTTTACATGATTTACGTGATGTATAAATCGTGAGCTAAACGTCGCTATATAGGTGCATTTACCAAAGTTGGGTTATCTTTTCCGAACGAAATTTAAAGGAATCATTAGTGCGCCCTCTAACAAATACATTTGCTTGTTTCCTTTTTCGGGCTTTATATACCGTTTTAAAAAGTGGTTTTTAAATGGCGCACTCCAATTCAAGAATTGTGCACACTATACATAACGAATTAGGAGCGTCCCACTGGCACTCTTAATGCTAAAGTTCTTTTTAATTAATCGATAACTTGTCATGGGCCGATTTTTGATGTCGTGCGATGTCTCACCTGAAACCTCATAACTAATGTTATGCTAGAAAATTATCAAGTCAATTTGAAAATCGAAAAGTTCCACACCCCAGAAGTACCAACTTTAATGCTCTCTTATCTTGTCGAGCAGACATGGATAAATAGGGGCGTACATATTATATTATGCCATTTGTGGCCTGGGTGGCTTGTGCGTAAAGCGCTCGCCTCTCACCAAGGAGACCACGGTTCGAATCCTGGCCGCGGATCGCATGTGAGTAGAGTTGTGCGTTGGTTCTCGCCTGTGCCACGAGGGTTTTTCTCCGGGCCCTCCGGTTTTCCTCCCTCCGGAAAAATCAAACACTTCCGATCTCAGGCTGTGCTCACTGGTCATATCGTCGCTTTGCTCACGAAGTGACAAAAACCTCCAAAATCGATAATTATTCGATTTTGAGTTTTACTAGCCATTTTATTATAGTTGTCTCAAGGAACAATTTGACCAAGTTTCAAGGCAAAATATTGTTTACTTTCTTAATTATTGTAAACAAACAATTGACAAAAAGCCTGAAATCGGTGATTTTCATTTTCACAAAGTGTAAAAAAGTGTAAAATGTTCTCACGAAGTGACAAAAAGTCACCTCGTGAGCAGGGCCAGAAATTATACAATGGTCTATACGCGGCAGGATGGAAGCATACACGCGCGCGCGAACGATGTTGAAAAAGAACAGACGCGCGCGCGCTCAACTGTCGTGACGCGCAAAAGTAACAAGTTTGTTGCGTCGAAAAAAAGATTCATGATCCCACGAAGTGACAAAAACTGTGTACAAAGTAATTGGCAAAATATGGGAGCCAAAGTTCTGATGTTCTCACGAAGTGTAAAAAAGTTGTATTAATGAATTACTGTTTAATTACGAACTATTTTTAACAAACAACTATGAACTAACAAAGAGCAAATCATATCATATCGGACAATGTAAACAATTCCGAATTCTGTTACTGCAAAATGGTCGAAAATGTCCTTTGAAAAAATGAATAACTTCAAATGCGATTATCTCAGAATGAACTTTTGTCAAATTTTGAGGTTTTTGTCACTTCGTGAGCAAAGCGACGATATATGGGTCGGTGTGGCCGGCAGCCATAGGCGCCTTCACGTGCCAGCGGCCCGACCACGTTGTAGCCGCGTCCTTCGCAATTCAGCATACCAGCCGCGAGTAAGGATGATTAGCCTCCCAAATTATTATTATTACCACATGTGGCGCTGTCCGTACGTCCGGAGAGTAGGGCCGGGAGCGCATGCGCAGATTAGCGACGCAGGATAATGTATTAAGTTGGTTAACCGCGCGCGCGAAAAAGGTTGTTGTTGTGCTAGCTTGGAGCTGAACGGTTTTGCGCTGAGGAACTTCCAAAGTGAGGACCGAGCCCGAATCTCCCTTGACGGACAGCTAAGGCGAATCAGTGTGCAAATAATCAGCAATTATTGTTATAATGTGATTGACCTGTTAATGATCTGTTGAGGATTAAAAGTTAAAAACTGAGGCACTGTCAGGTCACATTTCTTCGTCCATGTCAACGTGTTGTTGAGTCTGTCATTGTGTTACAGTACTCCGTCAGCAAACTCCTAGGAAAATTCACATCCTTCATTTAGAACCCATTGGTCAAACGCTACATTGGTGCCAGCGGTTTGTTCCATCCCTTAATATATTCTGCGTTAAGTCAGTTTACGCCGACAGGTATGGCCGATCACAGCCTAGTTCCCACCCCTATGACACCCGCTCCCGCGTCCACGTCACTGGACTTCAACGCCACATCCCGCTGGTTTCACACGCTACAGCCAGTTTCGCCCACCCTTGCGGGGGAGTCATTTCACTGCGTAGTCACAGAGGCAAGCCTCGTTGCGACCCGTTCGTCAACACCGTTGCACGGCGGGGAAGTTCTACGCAGATACGGTGAAATGCAGCAACAAATGCAGTCGATCGGTGCACCGACCGGGGAACCGATGGCTACGCCACAGGGCGAGGATAACGAGGGGCAGCTTCAACCGTCGGCAACGGGACACCGGGAGAAGTCGCCGACGTCGACACTTCCAGCACAACAAATACCGTACATCAGTACACCCAACCGGGCACCGTCCGAGACACCGACCGGGGTACCGCTGGCTGCGCAGGGTGCGGGAAATGCGGGACGGCTTCAACCGTCGATCGGCACCGGGGCACTGGGAAATTGATCCGAAGTGGTCAAATGAAGTACAGCAACAGACGCAGAATGCGGGAAACGCGGAGCGCCTTCAGCCGTCGGCACCGGGGCACCGGGAGATTGATCCACATGCAGTGGATATTGGTAGAACAGCAACAGACGTTGTATATCGGTGCACCGACCGGGGTACCGATGGCGGCGCATGGTGCGGGAAAGGCGGAGCGGTTTCAACCGTCGGCACCGGGGCACCAGGAGATTGATCCAAAGTGGTCAATGGTACTACAGCAACAGACGCAGGGTGCAGGAAACGCGGGACGGCTTCAACCGTCGGCAGCGGGACACCAGAAGATTGATCCAAAGTGGTCAATGGTAGTACAGCAACAGACGCCGTATATCGGTGCACCGATGCCGATGTACCGACGGCGGCGCATGGTGCGAGAAACACGGAGCGGTTTCAACCGTCGGCACCGGGGCACCAGGAGATCATGATCCAAAGTGGTCAATGGTACTACAGCAACAGACGCAGGGTGCGGGAAACGCGGGACGGCTTCAACCGTTGGCAGCAGGGCACCTGGAGATTGATCCAAAGTGGTCAATGGCAGTACAGCAACAGACGCCGTATATCGGTGCACCGGCCGGGGTACCGATGGCGTTGCATGGTGCGGGAATCGCGGAGCGGCTTCAACCGTCGGCACCGGGGCACCAGGAGATTGATCCAAAGTGGTCAATGGCGGTACAACAGACGCTGTATATCCGTGCACCGACCGGGGCACCGATGGCAACGCAGGGTGCGGGAAACACAGATCGGCTTCAACCGTCGGCACCGGGGCACAAGGAGATTGATCCATTGATCCAAAGTAACCAAATGCAGC